CCTTACCTCCTTCCTTACCCCCTTTCCCTTTTACCTCCTTCCTTACCTCCTTCCTTACCTCCTTCCTTCCCGTCCTTCCTTCCCTCCTTCCTTCCCTCCTTCCTTACTTCCTTCCTTACCTCCTTCCTTCCTTACCTCCTTCCTTACCTCCTTCCTTCCTTACCTCCTTCCCTCCTTCCTTCCTTCCCTCCTTCCTTCCTTCCTTCCCTCCTTCCTTCCTTCAGACAAGGTAGCATCTTTTAGATGTAATTCTTTGCCTTCCACTGTAGCTGTGGTGGATATGTGGGCCACCAACAGCAACAACCTGGTTAACCTGGCTAGCACCAGACGAGCCGGGCTGTGGCTCGTACGTTGGACTACGTGCAGCCAGCAGTAACAACCTAGTTGATCAGGCCCTGATCCATCGGGAGGCCTGGTCATGGACCGGGCCGCGGGGGCGTTGATCCCCGGAATAACCTCCAGGTATCCAGGCCCATGGCTGGGCTCTGGGAGTAGAAATAACTCAAGGAACTCAAAGGTATATTGAGTATACTTTCTCACTCAGTCTATGTCTGTCTCTGCTTCTCTCTCTCTCGTAACACGTCTGTTGAATGAACAATGGTAAATGTTTTTTTTTCTTATACACCTTTAACAGTCACCTAACAATGTAGAGTAAATAATTGAAAGTTGTGATCAGAGCGAGAGACCTTAAATTCAGTTGGGAAGGTAGGCCTATTGCCTGGGGAAGAACATTGGATAGGCCTACTGAAAAGATTTTTTTTTGTAGCTGCCTCTTCCATAACCCTCATGTACTTTATCCTTCCATTTTTTCCTCTTTGCCTTTCTCCCTCTTTATTACCTCTTTCACCATTATAAATACAGGACTACAAATCAACTCTTGATAAACTTGGAACAATATATAATGCATAATTTCATGCATTGGGCAGGGAGGTATAACATCTTCTAGGAGTGAGGAAGAGCCAGGTGTGTGTGTGTGTGTGTGTGTGTGTGTGTGTGTGTGTGTACTCGCCTATTTGTGGTTGCAGGGGTCGAGTCTTAGCTCCTGTAGTGTGTGTGTGTGTGGTGGTGTGTGTGTGTTGGTGTGTGTGTGGTGTGTGTGTGTGTGTGTTTTGTGTGTGTACTCGCCTATTTGGTGGTTGCAGGGGTCGAGTCTTAGCTCCTGTGTGTGTTGTGTGTGTGTGTGTGTGTGTGTGTGTGTGTGTGCAGCGAGGTGTGTGAGGCTGTTCGAAGTGGGGGAGTGTGCGAGGATGTGCAAGTGTAAGGGAGGTGTGTGAGGCTGTTCGAGTGAGGGGGAAGTGTGCGAGGCTGTGCAAGTGTAGGGGAGGTGTGCGGGGGCTGTGCAAGTGTAGGGAGGTGTGTGAGGCTGTTTCGAGTGTGGGGAGGTGTGCGAGGCTGTGCAAGTGTAGGGGAGGTGTGTGAGGCTGTTCGAGTGTGGGGGAGGTGTGCGAGGCTGTGCAAGTGTAGGGGAGGTCTGTGAGGCTGTTCGAGTGTGGGGGAGGTGTGCGAGGCTGTGCAAGTGTAGGGGAGGCGTTTGAGCTTGTGCAAGTGTGGGGGAGGTGCATGAGGCTGTCAGTAGAATAAAAGGGGGTACAGCAGCCGGGATTGATGGGATAAAGATAGAAATGTTAAAAGCAGGTGGAGATGTAATTTTGGAGTGGTTGGTGCTTTTATTTAATAAATGTATGGAAGAGGGTAAGGTACCTAGGGATTGGCAGAGAGCATGCATAGTTCCTCTGTATAAAGGCAAAGGGGGACATAGTGTAAAAATTATGGGGGAATAAGCCTGTTGAGTATACCTGGTGAAGTGTATGGTAGAGTTGTTATTATTGAAAGAATTAATTGTAAGACAGAGCAGGATAGCAGATGAACAAGGAGGCTTTAGGAAGGGTAGGGGGTGTGTAGACTAAGTAGTTAGATAATGTTAAGGAAGTTTTTGTTGCATTTATGGGCAAAAAAAAGGACAAAGAGGTTTTTGTGGCATTTATGTATTTGAAAAAGGCGTATGATAGGGTGAATAGGGGGGCAATGTGGCAGATGTTGCAAAAGTACAGTGCCTGCACCCTGAATGAGGGGTGGAGATGTGTTGTAGTTTTGAACTGTAGTATTGGCACACCTCTGGCAAGACAGTGATGATGAAGTGTTTCTTCTTTTTCTGGTTAGTGTGTAAAAAAATATAACTCGATTTAGGAAACTATTTAAATGAGAAAAATAAATTTAGATTTAAAAAGGGATTTGAGTTTTTTTTTTTACATTAGTTGGCACTAGGAAGTTGGTGGCACTAACAGCCTTGAACAGTAGTAGTGGACTAGTGATGGTGATGGTGGTGGTGATGGTAGTGGAGTCAGCTGTCTGATGACAATGTCAGCTGTTGCTGGTCTAACCTTCAGCCAGATCCTTCATTCTTGTCAAATTCACTTCCCTCGAGGCTATCTACCTCCCCTCATCTACCCTTCTCTGCTTGCTATCTACCCCCCTCTCATCTACCCTTCTCTGCTTGCTATCTACCCCCCTCTCATCTACCCTTCTCTGCTTGCTATCTACCTCCCCTCATCTACCCTTCTCTGCTTGCTATCTACCCCCCTCTCATCTACCCTTCTCTGCTTGCTATCTACCCCTCTGCTTGCTATCTATATCCCCCCCCCCCCATTTCCATCATATCTCCCCTTTCCTGATATCTTCATAATATTCAGTTGCCAGGTTATAGTTTGCACACTGCCATAACATGCTGGAGTGAGAGATGCAGGAAGTGTAAAATAAACCCAGATAAAAGCAGGGGCACTCTGGGCACAATAAGAGAACATTGTAAAGATACATGGACCAAGACTCTTCAACTGCCACCAGCAGATGTGGGAAATATTTTCACAGTGAAAGTAGAACAGGGCAGTACTTGATCATCTAGGCTGTGATAATGAGGCATGCAGGTTGCTACAAGCAACAACCTGTTTGATCAGACAGTAAGGAAGCCTAAGGTACAGGAACCCTCTAAAGTCTAAAGTAACCTCAGGTTAGGTAAATTAGAACAAATTAGGCCAGGCTCAGTTAGAATTGAAGATTTTTATTTTTTTTTTTTTTTTATTATCACACCGGCCGATTCCCACCAAGGCAGGGTGGCCCGAAAAAGAAAAACTTTCACCATCATTCACTCCATCACTGTCTTGCCAGAAGGGTGCTTTACACTACAGTTTTTAAACTGCAACATTAACACCCCTCCTTCAGAGTGCAGGCACTGTACTTCCCATCTCCAGGACTCAAGTCCGGCCTGCCGGTTTCCCTGAATCCCTTCATAAATGTTACTTTGCTCACACTCCAACAGCACGTCAAGTATTAAAAACCATTTGTCTCCATTCACTCCTATCAAACACGCTCACGCATGCCTGCTGGAAGTCCAAGCCCCTCGCACACAAAACCTCCTTTAACCCCCTCCCTCCAACCCTTCCTAGGCCGACCCCTACCCCGCCTTCCTTCCACTACAGACTGATACACTCTTGAAGTCATTCTGTTTCGCTCCATTCTCTCTACATGTCCCGAACCACCTCAACAACCCTTCCTCAGCCCTCTGGACAACAGTTTTGGTAATCCCGCACCTCCTCCTAACTTCCAAACTAACGAATTCTCTGCATTATATTCACACCACACATTGCCCTCAGACATGACATCTCCACTGCCTCCAGCCTTCTCCTCGCTGCAACATTCATCACCCACGCTTCACACCCATATAAGAGCGTTGGTAAAACTATACTCTCATACATTCCCCTCTTGCCTCCAAGGACAAAGTTCTTTGTCTCCACAGACTCCTAAGTGCACCACTCACTCTTTTTCCCTCATCAATTCTATGATTCACCTCATCTTTCATAGACCCATCCGCTGACACGTCCACTCCCAAATATCTGAATACATTCACCTCCTCCATACTCTCTCCCTCCAATCTGATATTCAATCTTTCATCACCTAATCTTTTTGTTATCCTCATAACCTTACTCTTTCCTGTATTCACCTTTAATTTTCTTCTTTTGCACACCCTACCAAATTCATCCACCAATCTCTGCAACTTCTCTTCAGAATCTCCCAAGAGCACAGTGTCATCAGCAAAGAGCAGCTGTGACAACTCCCACTTTGTGTGTGATTCTTTGTCTTTTAACTCCACGCCTCTTGCCAAGACCCTCGCATTTACTTCTCTTACAACCCCATCTAAAATATATTAAACAACCACGGTGACATCACACATCCTTGTCTAAGGCCTACCTTTACTGGGAAAAAATTTCCTTCTTTCCTACATACTCTAACTTGAGCCTCACTATCCTCGTAAAAACTCTTCACTGCTTTCAGTAACCTACCTCCTACACCATACACTTGCAACATCTGCCACATTGCCCCCTATCCACCCTGTCATATGCCTTTTCCAAATCCATAAATGCCACAAAGACCTCTTTAGCCTTATCTAAATACTGTTCACTTATATGTTTCACTGTAAACACCTGGTCCACACACCCCCTACCTTTCCTAAAGCCTCCTTGTTCATTCTGCTATCCTATTCTCCGTCTTACTCTTAATTCTTCAATTATAACTCTACCATACACTTTACCAGGTACACTCAACAGACTTATCCCCCTATAATTTTGCACTCTCTTTTATCCCCTTTGCCTTTATACAAAGGAACTATGCATGCTCTCTGCCAATCCCTAGTACCTTACCCTCTTCCATACATTTATTAAATAATTGCACCAACCACTCCAAAACTATATCCCCACCTGCTTTTAACATTTCTATCTTTATCCCATCAATCCCGGCTGCCTTACCCCCTTTCATTTTGCCTACTGCCTCACGAACTTCCCCCACACTCACAACTGGCTCTTCCTCACTCCTACAAGATGTTATTCCTCCTTGCCCTATACACGAAATCACAGCTTCCCTATCTTCATCAACATTTAACAATTCCTCAAAATATTCCTTCCTTGAAGATACATTTACTTAATTCATTAATCCTGTGATTGATCTTGCAGGTCCGTGGGCGCTGGGCAGGCAGACCAAACCTGGACCTGATAGCCAAGAAGTGTAACCTGGGCGACTGGTTCCTCATTTACCACCTCGGTCGCAACATGGAGCCCATGGTGTATGGAGAGTTCCTCAAGGAGTTCGCCAAGGAGCTGGAGAACTCAGTGTCGACACTTGAAAGAAAGCCTATGTTAGTGGGGAGTTAGACTGAAGGTGTGGTGTGTATTTTTGTCTAACTCATAAAATTGTAATAGTCGTGTGTCGCATAGCGACAGGGATGCATTCTAAGGAATGTGTTGTTGGGCGATTTTGTCATTGTGTGAACATCACGAGTATTTACACACCCCTATATGGTACAGCCTACTACACACCTAGGCTAGATGGTGCAGCCTACTACACACCTAGGCTAGATAATATAGCCTACTACACACCTAGGCTAGATGGTGTAGCCTACTACACACCTAGGCTAGATGGTATAGCCTACTACATACCTAGGCTAGATGGTATAGCCTACTACACAGTTAGGCTAGATGGTATAGCCTACTACATACCTAGGCTACATGTACAGTGTGTTACTGTACTGAATTCTATGGACATTTTTTTTTCATCATAGATTTGCTTGTACTGACAAGATGAATGAGGCTGCTGCCAGCGTAACTCCCCATACTGTTTTACAGCAAACATTTTTTTTTTATAAGTAGAAAAAGTAGACTAGAATAATGAAAAGTATGTATTAAATATTTGTTTATACTTGTTTATTATCATTAGCAAGTATTATGTACTGTACGTAATTGTATGTGCTATACTTTCATATGGATGGCAGCTTATGGGACCACAGTTGTATATACAGTCCATCATTGATTGAAATGTTATGCTGCACATGACTGTAACACTATTGCACACAAATTGCAGAACGGATGGGGGCGAGTGAGGTTCAGGACTTGCCGTGGGTCAAGTCGCACCCACCCCGTACACCCACTGTACTTTCTATCATTATTCTAGAATGTACTTTTTCTACTTGTAAAAAGAAAGTTTGCTGTAAAACAGTATGGGGTGTTAGGCCGGCAGCAGCCTCGTGCATCACTTGTTTACCACATAGCTTGACGGCATCATTTTCCTTTGTGCTTGGTTTAATCTCATGTTTTGTTCATCGTGGCCTCTTAGGTTTGTAGCCTAGGGGCAATAAGCTATATCATACAGCCTAGAGTAGACTATACCATCTACCTAGGAGCAACAGGCTATACCATACAGCCTATGCTATGCTATCTACCTAGGGGCAATAGGCTATACCTTACAGCTTAGGTATGTAGGTTATACCATCTACCTAGGAGCAACAGGCTATACCATACAGCCTAGGTGTGTAGTAGGCTATACCATTTAGGTTTGTGTAAGTACACTGACTTTCGCACAATAATAAAATTGCCTAACGATACTCTATATTGTCACTAGCACTGACCTTGGACATCCCATTCTCTCACAAGATGCCAACTAACTTTACCTTGGCTAGCTGCAAGTTAGCAGTCTGCTAATTATGCTAATTTCTCCACACATTAATTTAAATTTCTGTAAATTTTGAGTCCCTATATAAGAAAAAAATCAAGAACCATTCTCTACAAATTTACCTTAGTCTGGCAGTATTTAAGAACATAAGAAAGAAGGAACACTGCAGCAGGCCTACTGGCCCATGCGAGGCAGGTCCAATTCTCCCACCGGCTTAAGCCAATACCTTAACCGTGTTACAATGACTCGTGAACTCAGATTGTGGACAGCATTGATTCTCTGAGCATTTAAAAGCAATAAAATGGTATTTATGTTATGCTGAATTTATTCACTTCAAATTTTTAGCATATTCAGGAAATTGTTGCATTTTACAGTAATGTGAAATTCAGTGTGTGCGGGCGCTTGTGTATGTGTACTCACCTAGTTATGGTTGCAAGGGTTGTTGAGTCATAGCTCCTGGTATGTGTGTGCTTGTGTGTACTCTCCTAATTGTGGTTGCAGGGATTGTGTGCACGTATGTGTGTGTGTGTACTCGCCTAGTTGTACTCGCCTAGTTGTACTCGCCTAGTTGTTCTCGCCTAGTTGTTCTCGCCTAGTTGTACTCGCCTAGTTGTACTCGCCTAGTTGTACTCGCTTAGTTGTACTCGCCTAGTTGTACTCGCCTAGTTGTACTCACCTAGTTGAGGTTGCAGGGGTTGAGTCCAAGCTCCTGGCCCTGCCTCTTCACTGATCGCTACTAGGTCACTCTCCCTGAACCATGAGCTTTATCATAACTTTGCTTAAAGCTATGTATGGATCCTGCCTCCACTACATCGCTTCCCAAACTATTCCACTTGCTGACTACTCTGTGGCTGAAGAAATACTTCCTAACATCCCTGTGATTCATCTGTGTCTTCAACTTCCAACTGTGTCCCCTTGTTACTGTGTCCAATCTCTGGAACATCCTGTCTTTGTCCACCTTGTCAATTCCTCTCATTATTTTGTATGTCGTTATCATGTCCCCCCTATCTCTCCTGTCCTTCAGTGTCGTCAGGTTGATTTCCCTTAACCTCTCCTTGTAGGACATACCTCTTAGCTCTGGGACTAGTCTTGTTGCAAACCTTTGCACTTTCTCTAGTTTCTTTACGTGCTTGGCTAGGTGTGGGTTCCAAACTGGTGCCGCATACTCCAATATGGGCCTAACGTACACGGTGTACAGGGTCCTGAATGATTCCTTATTAAGATGTAAGATGTCGGAATGCTGTTCTGAGGTTTGTGTGTGTGTGTGTGTGTGTGTGTGTGTGTGTGTGTGTGTGTGTGTGTGTGTGTGTGTGTGTGTGTGTGTGTGTGTGTGTGTGTGTGCGTGCATGCCTACTTGTGTGCACGTTTATTTTCTTCACAATATGTGACTTTGACACACGAGAGTCCAAGGATAACATTTAGTCGCAATACAATATTTAAGTTGATCTGTAGTGATACTGTATTGGTACCTGTATACAGGTAATATTCATATATTATCTGAAGTGCGATTACATTACCACAGGTAATTACCTGTGGTAATTACCACAGTATACCACAGTGGTAATTACCACAGTATACCACAGTGGTAATTACAAGAAACCAGGTATTACCACAGTATACCACAGTGGTAATTACCACAGTATACCACAGTGGTAATTACCACAGTATACCACAGTGGTAATTACCACAGTATACCACAGTGGTAATTACCACAGTATACCACAGTGGTAATTACCACAGTATACCACAGTGGTAATTACCACAGTATACCACAGTGGTAATTACCACAGTATACCACAGTGGTAATTACCACAGTATACCACAGTGGTAATTACCACAGTATACCACAGTGGTAATTACCACAGTATACCACAGTGGTAATCACCACAGTATGTTACAGGTAATTCTTGTTATATAATTTTTCAATGAACTCTCAGTTTGTACATTGATACATTTTGATAATTGCAAGTATTTTGCTAAATAGTTTATGCAGTGTCATACATATGTATGATGTATGTAGATGTATGTTTGACTGGAACAAGTTACTTTACTGCCACTCAGTCTGTGATTGAAGGTCCCATGTGGGATAGTAAAATGAGAGGTAGTTTGGTAGATAGTAACCACTCAGGGTAGTTCTACCCTCCTGTCGTATGAATGTGTAGTGGAAGCTTGTTAAAAGTTTTGCACTCTGGCAGTTGGTTAGCAACCACTAGGGAGGTACCATCTTAGATGAGTGCAAAATGGAAGCCTGTTAAAAGTTTTGCACTCTGACAGGGTCACTGACCTTGTCTTTGTCTCATAAACACTTAAAATGGCAGGTTTCTCTTACAAACTTCTACTAATACTCATATATATACCACCTTCCAGTGTTTTTTTTTTTTTTTTTTTTTTTTTTTTTTTTTTTTTTTTTTTGTTTTTTTTTCTTTTTTGGACTATTTGGGAGGCCTGGTCTGAGACCAGGCCTCCCAAATACACACTGTAGTCAAAAGTCAAGGCCTGGCCTGAGACCAGGCCTTGAACACTGAATCTCCAAACAAATACGAATGCATTCTCACTTGCATTTGTTAGAATTAAGAATCGGTATTGTACCATGCTAAGTAAGTATGATTGCGCTCTCTTATAGTTTGTAGAAAATCATGGTGGATAGTATTGTGCCATGAGATAGTCAACTACAGGTGCTCCTCGCTGTACGATGGTTCACGGTGGTGCGATAGTGATGCACATTCAATACTGCACATTTATTGATAGGATAAACTTGTATTCATTTATTAATTTTTTGTATATTTACTTAGTGACATTTATTTATTTATATTCATATTCGACTAGTGATGTTTTCAACTTTCGATGGATTCTTAAGAACTTGACCCCATTGTAAGTTAAGGAGTGCCTGTAGTGTAGTGTTTCTCAGCTACTGTCCTACACTACCCACCTACTGGCATTCACCAAAGGAACAATGGAAGTACAATAAGTCATCAACTCGCAAAACCATTGAGAATTGTCTCTATTGTGTACAATAAATCATTTTTGTGTATAATATTATGCACAATACTGGAGGTCCCCATTGTGTTCATAAGTTGAAGACTTAATGTAATGTGACTATTATGCATGGGGTCCCCAGTGTGTTTGTAAGTTGAGGACTTTTTGTATACACAGCCCACATGTAGGAGAAAGAAACTAAGTTTCAGTCCAACTTGAACTATTAATTAGCCGTGTGGCTAGTTAATGGTCCCCGTTGAACCGAAACGTTCTCCTCTGTGCGGGTTATTTGTGTATTGTTCCAGTCACGGCATTGTGACTTTGTATTTAGGGACGGGGAAGGGATAGACCTTGCCCTTCTGGATCTAGCAAAGTAAATTTAAGTTACATATTTATAAGCATTTAGAAAGACAGATTCCCATCATGATAGACATCAGTTATAATTGTTATAGTTATTATAATTGTTATAATTGTACCCATTACTCATTTTAAATTGGTGAAGTTAGAGAATATTTCACTTTTCCTCTTTAACAAACAAGTGTTTATTTCTTCGCATCGACTGAATGAGCCTTAAATCCTTCAACAAAAACAATGGAAATTTTTTTTTTATTTCTCAAAAATTTTAATACAAAATACTGGAACAGCTTTGAAGAAAAACAAATCCGGTGTTTCCTCCCTCAGTGTATTACTTCTCAGAGGCCGTGGGTCACCCACACCTGCACCTGGTGTGGACCCTGTTTATAAAGTCTTTCACTAATTATACGAGGCCAATAATTAAGAGGTTAGAGAATTGTTAAAATTCTAAAGTCATGTTTTCTTGCATTTAGACAATTGACAAAATTCTAAAGTGACATTTTATCACATTTAGATAATTGACAAAAATCTAGAGTAACATTTCCTCGCATTTAGATTATGAATGCTTTTCCATAACCCCCATGCGATTGTTTAGTGTTTTACCATGAGTGTAGTAATTAAGTTGATCTTTAAACTGAACACAAGCTAGAACACTGAAGCAGTGTAGTAAAATTGCAATTTATGGAAATAACTCGTAAAATCGCAATAACATGATTACAAACAAGCCAAGGAACGGGTGGAGTTTGAAGGCATGGCCTGCGAGTCCTGAAATCCAGGCCTTTAGTTTTACGGCTTGCCATTGGTTCAAACCCCCCCACAAGTTCTGTGGTTTGAACACACTGACAGCTGCTAAGGCTCCTGTCATAATCTCGGAAAATTCAATGTTTACTCTGTCACTGATGATGGTTCCAAGTCATAATGAAATACAGTAAGTCCTGTACTTACAAACACATTAAGGTCCTCCTGAATTGTGTATAATGTTCATAATACAGGAAGTCTTCAACTTAGGAACATGTTGGAGACTGTCTTGTGTACAGTGGACCCCCGGTTAACGATATTTTTTCATTCCAGAAGTATGTTCAGGTGCCAGTACTGACCGAATTTGTTCCCATAAGGAATATTGTGAAGTAGATTAGTCCATTTCAGACCCCCAAACATACACGTACAAACGCACTTACATAAATACACTTACATAATTGGTCGCATTGGGAGGTGATCGTTATGCGGGGGTCCACTGTATAATGATATAACAATATTATGCACAATGATACACACAATTCCGAAGATTTTCAACATGTTTATAATAATGTGCTGATTTTTTTTTTAGCAGGATGAGTTGGAGGATGAGTTGGGAACGTTGATGATAATGATTATTAATGGTAGTAAATAACCCACATAGACAAGAAAACGACAAAAATAGTCTTCTGAGGAACAAGTCATAGTACCGTTGCTGGGACAGTTCAGATTTAAATTTTTATTTTTGTGATACAAGTATAATATAGTTTACATTTAATAAAAGATTGTTAAGCACAAAAAATCAGGAACATGAAGTGTATTTCAAGGAAGATGTCCTCTTCAGCAGGTCTACTGAAGAGGACCCAAAAGGTCAAAATTTGTGGGTTATTTCTTCTCATTATACATTGATACATCAATATTAATGATGTCTGACCCTGCCTTCAAGGCTGTGCCAATACTAGTGCCTTAAGTTAACACACACACACTCCCAGACACACTTTATATTGCATTTATCCAGAAGTTTGTAGTGTTGAATGTTAGAGATCATGATACAGCAGGGGTCAGTGTCTCCTGCAGTGGTGTGATCAGTATCACTAAGTCTTATAGTACTGTATTGCTGAGTTAGCGACATGATCAGTATTGCTCATTTGTCAAGGTTAATTATTTAAGTACAGGAGGACCCCATTTGTCGAGGTTAATTATTTAAGTACAGGAGGACCCCATTTGTCGAGGTTAATTATTTAAGTACAGGAGGACCCCATTTGTCGAGGTTAATTATTTAAGTACAGGAGGACCCCATTTGTCGAGGTTAATTATTTAAGTACAGGAGGACCCCATTTCTCCAGCAGGTTGTTGACTACTGCTGTCGAGCAAAACATGACCTTTTTTCACTTTCAAATTCATATAAAAGTCTGATAACATATTTACACTATAAAGAACGAAGATAATACTGTGACTGGAACAATACACAAATAACCCACATAATAGGAGAAAGGAACTTGTGATGTTTTGGTACAACTTGGACCATTTACAAGTCACACTAACACGAGATTGAGGAGTCAGTATGTATAGGTGAGGGTGACAGGGAAGGGACCAAGAGATAGAAAAAGTAGTGGTGGCAGTAGTAATGCTGGTAGAAGCTTGCACTACCAGCATTACCACTACAGTGGAACCTCAGTACTTGAACAACTCTCTACTCAAACAAAGCTTAGCACTCGACCAAACAAACACAACATACCAGAACTTCTCTGTAAACCATTTCGTGTTTCTTCACATTTTTTGGTTATTTTTTATATTTGTTTAACTCTTAAGCTGTCCAAACATAGATCTACGTTCACATGCGTAGTGCTCCAAAAGTAGATCTTCATTTTTTACATATTTTCAGATATAACAAAAAAAAAAAAAAGATCAGAGTTTTTTACACGCTTTCAAATATGTATATATATATATATAAAAATTACGTTTTTTTACATATGTACTTTCAAATGTTGAAAAAAATGTAGATCTACGTTTGGACAGTTTAAGGGTTAAGTAAGTCACTATGGGGCCTACAAAGATTAATGATAACAGTCAACCGAAAAGAAAATTGGTTGGGAAGAACTTGTTCAATACTCGAACGGATTGCCACTCGAACAGCCTTCTGGAATGAATTAAGTTGAGTACAGAGGTTCCACTGTACAAGCATTACCACTACCACCACCACTATTTCTCTCTCTTGGCACTATCCCTGTCCCCCTCGTCTGTATATACAGTCTCCCTCTCATGTGTTACTAATAGTGAAATATTGGTTATAATTGTGATTTTTAAAGAAGTGGACCAGTAAGCCAGTGGAAGGCCTTGGTCAGATGACCAAAAGGTCCAGCTGTGGGTCATCACATGACTAAGATCCTATCATACCTCTTATCTTTCTCTCTATCTCTCTATCTCTTTTTGGGTTATTTGTGTAATGTTTACACCATCATATATTAAGTCAGCAATAGAACTAGGCCTAAAAAAGAATACATATACAGTACACACATTACTTACCTTAAAATATTTTCATCCTTAGCTTATAGTGTAGAAACATTGGACGTGTTTCTTTGCACCTGTTGTCTATGTTCCCCATCAGTAAAATGGGTACCAGGGTGTTAGTCGACTGGTGTAGGTCGCATCCTGGGTGTTAGTCGACTGGTGTGGGTCGCATCCTGGGTGTTAGTCGACTGGTGTGGGTCGCATCCTGGGTGTTAGTGGACTGGTGTGGGTCGCATCCTGGGTATTAGTCGACTGGTGTGGGTCGCATCCTGGGTGTTAGTCGACTGGTGTGGGTCGCATCCTGGGTGTTAGTCGACTGGTGTGGGTCGCATCCTGGGACACTGACCTAAGGAGGCCTGGTCACAGACCGGGCCGTGGGGGCGTTGACCCCCAGAACTCTCTCCAGATAAACTCTCCAGATAGTGAGTGATGAATATATTTATTGTAGGAAGTCTGAATAAATGACAACTGACTATAATTGAAAACCACTTCATTAGCAGAATGCTGTACAGCAAAGTGTTGTAAAGTGGGGCCCTCCTGTATTGTGGAAGTTACTATTATTTTAGTATAAGAGGAGAACTAGAGGTCTCTTAAGTATCCTTACTCTTATAAAATCTACATTTATGACAATAAATTATGCCATATTTTTTGCATTAATTTTTTTAATCCTATGCATGTGTAATAACTTATTTGTAGTTACAGCATCCGAGCTATGATCATGGTGGGGATGTTTGCATTTTTTTGAACTGTAGTATCGGCACCCTTCTGGCAAGACAGTGGTGGAGTGAGTGATGGTTAGTGTTTCTTCTTTCCTAGCTTGCCTTGCCTTGGTGGGAGATGGCCGGTGTGTTTGAGAAAAACAAAATTATTTTTTTACAAATTTTCAATGATTGTATCACTATATCGTCTCTTAATTCGTTGCAGCATTCATCCATTGTTTACGAAGATAATTAACATATCTTTGGCTTCACTTTCTCTTCGATGTACAACCGTATCTGCTTGTCCCTGTTGCAGGTACAGTATCAAGACATCTTGATCTTGTCTCAAGTCCTCGTATGACCCTGTTTGTGGTTATGTAATTATGGGGTTATGTAGCTATGCAGTTTTTATGTAGTTATGTGGTTGTATTATGTAGTTATGGGGTTATGTGGTTGTATTGTGTAGTTATGGGGTTAGGTGGTTAACATGTCTCTTCTTTTGTAGGCAGTTTGACAGTTTTCGGACTTTCCTCGCAACTTGTGTATTGCCTCGTAACTTACATTATTTCCTCAAAACTATTATATTCTCCATGGGGAAGTGGAACAGAATTCTTCCTCCATAAGCCATGTGTGTTGTAAGAGGCGACTAGAATGCCAGGAGCAAGGTGTTAATAACCCTTTTTCCTGTATACATTACTAAACTTAAAAATTAAAGAGAGACTTTTGTTTTTCTTTTCGGGTCACCCTGCCTTGGTGGGATGCAGCTGGTTTGTTGGAAGAACTACTACTATTGTATGTTTCCTCACATCTGTTTCCTTATAACTCGTAACATTTTTTATGTACCTTCTGTAACTTGTCAATGTTTTTCAGGTAATGTTTTCAGGTAATGTTTTCAGGTAATGTTTTTCAGGTAATGTTTTTCAGGTAATGTTTTTCAGGTAATGTTTTTCAGGTAATGTTTTTCAGGTAATGTTTTTCAGGTAAATGACACTAAAACTGCTGCATATTCCAATTTTGGATGAACATATGTTGTAAATGACCTCTTTGCTGTTTCTCCATTCTTGTATTATGTGCTCTCTGAAAAGGACAAAATAAATATTTTGTATACGGTGGACCCCCGGATAACGATATTATTTCAATCCAGAAGTCTGTTTGGGTGCCGTTATGGACCGAATTTGTTCCCATAAGAGATATTGTGAATTAGATTAGTCCGTTTCAGACCCCCACAAATACACCTACAAAAGCACTTACAAAAATACACTTACATAATTGGTCGAGTTGGGAGCTGATCGTTATGCGGGGGTCCACTGTATTTTGCTTTTTCATGTAATTTTATACTGCTGATGTTTTCATTAATAGCTAAAATGAAAATTTCATGTTTCATATTATTTGACTTGTATTATTAGCTTATATATGTAAATAGGATGTAACAGCTACACCTCTCATTGTGCTTGTTGGAGAGAGTTGATTAGCTGTATACACTGCAGATTACCTGCTCGCTTGTTTTGCGGTTCATGTCAGGCTCGTGCTGGTACCCAACCTGATGTTGGATCTGCAGGCCCTACGTCCCTCTCTTTCTCTCTCTCTCCTCGTTGAGGAAACTTCTCTCTGTTCTGTTCTGTTTTGTTTGGGAGAATGCTGTTCTCAGTTCAAGTTATCTATACTGTTTTGGTTAATGTCTTTGTTGGTGAGCCAGGACATATCTCATAACTATGTGCAACTCTGTTCAAAGCATTATTTAGACTTAGTGATATTTGATGTTTTCAGAAGTTGTGTGTCGTGGAGATGCACTAGATCTCTGGTCTCTAGTTCAACTCTCGACTTACTTTGTTTTGACATTTGCACATTGTTGTATTCAGGAAACTGGAATTGCTGAACTCATTTTCAGTAATAAGGGAGTTTTATGTCCTTGGTGTAGGATTTGTTGAAGGTCCACAGTTAGGGTCGTTTTTGGTCTCCATAATTCCTTGCCTGACGCTGTGCTGTTATCTGCTGCTTCCAGTATTATTGCTGTTTGGTGAATGTGTCATCACATTGTTCAAGCAGGCTGTTTCATTGCCTTGATGGTCTAGAAGTTAGCTTATTTAGGGACTTGTTGTAAGTCACGTAAGTCTAAGTTGAGTCAATCTGAGCACATACCGAGCACTAACACATAAACAATATTACTCTTGTATTTGAGTAAATCTCATCATAGCAATGTACCAGACAGTACATATTAATAGTACAGTCTTATTAACCCCTTGACTGTCACAACCCCAAATCCTGAGGTGTCGCAAAATATAAAAAAAAAAAAAACTATTTTTTTTCTTATGAAATGATAGAGAATCTTTTCCAGATTGTAATGACACCAAAAGAACGAAATTTGATGGGAAATTGACGGAATTATGCTCTCGCGAAGTTAGCGACCGCGGCGATATTTACGAATCGGCGATTTCACCCACTTTGAGCCCTATTTTCGGCTAATTCCATTGTTCCAGTTGACCAAACTCATAGCTATTTCTTTAGAACCCCATTTTTTCTATCAATTGAGTACAAGAAACTGCCCATTTACCGATTTCAACTACCCAATAACGTGGTCAGAAATTTGCAATTTGGCCAATTTTGCGAAAATTAAAAAATATGACAATTTCAAAATAAGGTCCAGAATGAACAATGCAGACATTCCTGGCTCTAAAATAACATTTTCTTTGTTCATCAGTCATGTCTCCAGGCCCCTCTGATATTACTCTTGCTTTCTATTTTGAATTTTTATTCAAACAAAAAATAGAAGATTTACTGTTAAGCAGACTACTGCAATACTGTAATAATTGTATAAATAATGTCAACCCATTCATGACTGCATATTAGTATGGCTGCTTGGACATTTATTGGACAATGACATCATTTATTTACTTTTGAACATCGGCAAAAATCAAACGTCTCCCTAATTTGAGCTCCATTTCTAGGTTCTTTTTATAGTAAAACCAATCAAAATCACCTCTATTTCTATAATATGTTTTCCATTCTATCAAATGAGACCAAGAAAACGAGAATAAAACCATAAATACTATACGAAAATAGACCACCATTCGGCATTTTCATTAAAAAAAAAAAAAACTGAGTTTTTTTTCTCATTATGCACTGTGTGCTGCAGGATTTTTTTATATGGTGCACACTGATCACACAGACCCATTCTCTCACATGTGGGCCTACCCGCTTTCTCCTGCTTGATTTGAAGCCTCTAGAATTTGAGTATATATACGTCAAAAACGGTGGCTCGTAAGACGTATATATACGACCGAAACAGTCAAAGGGTTAAACGTGCACATAGTACCATATGATTATATGTACAGAATAACTATGATATATAAGTATAACAAGTTATCCTCCAAGAGTTGTGTACAAATTCAAATAAAAGTTTATTGCTCGGCACATTGTACAATGTGTGATTTACATGTTAAGAAATATTGTTATATACAAAGAAAGCCACTAAGTAAGCAAGTTTATTCAGGTATACACAATACAGTTACATAGATTATCATGCATAGCAGCGTATGTGTAGAGAACCTGGGATAACTTAAAAAAAAAGTCAGTGACTTATTTCCGTTGGGGTCCTTTTAATACCTTATTATTGTACAATCTAGGAGATGATGATATACTATAAATGATATATATTAGGAATAAGGTAAATAAGAGTTATTTACATCTACATGTTTGTTAGGTAATAAAATAAAAAATTCTCCTGCCTTTGTGCCACAACATTCATTAGGTACCTTCTTGAACTGGTTCATGCTATGACTGGCTTTGACATGTGCAGGCAGTCTGTTCCATTCCTTTATTGCCATACAGTAGATGTTGTTTGAAGCCTGGCCACTGACTGTGGGTACTACAAAGTTGTGCTCTCTCCCCCTAGTACTATGATTGCTTTGGTTCCCAACCTTGACAAGATTGACAGCAAGATATTCTGGACACTGTTTGTGAGCAATTTTATGAACATGATTTAGCTTCAGTTGTTTTACTCTGTCTTCAACATTCAGTATATCCAACTGCTGTAATTCATCCTGGCCTACATGTTCTCTTGGTCCCAGCCCCAGGATGAATCTTACGATTTTGTTCTGGGTGATTTGCAGTCTATCTTTGTTTTTTTTGTCAAGGCAGAGTACCAGGAAGAGCAAGCGTAGTCCATATGACATTGTATAAGGGCTAGACATAGGGTCCTGCAAGCCTCAGTAGGTAGACACTGTGCTTGTCTGTAGAGGAACTTCAGTCTGGCATTCGCTTTCTTTCCTACACTGTTCTCTATCAGTTCTCCTGACATGCATGGGTCAGAGGGGATTCCCAGATATTTTACTGAGGAAACTGAAGTGATGGGTTCCCCATTACACTGGACATTAAAATTATTTACCCTTCTTGGTTTGTTTTGTGCCAAAGAGTACGGCTTCCATTTTCCCGAGGTGTAACAATAGTTTGTTGTCTACTAACATTTGCTGCAGGACTCCAGTTCTAGTGTTAATACATAAGCTATATCTTGTGGATCTTTACCTGACACTAACAGAGCACTGTCATCCATATACAGTAGGAGTTTGCACTTGACACTGATGGGCATACCATTTACATAACACAAAAATAGACCCAGAATACTACCTTGGGGAACTTCATATACTATCAGGAGGGGTTTTGATTCTGTTTTGTTGATTTTGACAATTTGTTTCCTATTGTTATGGTAGGACTTAAACCAGTTTATGGAACCTATGCCAATAGCTTGAAGTTTCTTACATAATATGTTGTGGTTGACAGTATCGAAAGCCTTTTGCAAGTTTAAGGTTACCATTCATATGAGGTTCCCTATCGACATTTCAGTTCTTATATAATCCATCAGATTAATTAGGGAAGTGTCGGTTGAGTAAGAGCTACTAAAGCCTGATTGCTAACTGTGAAGAATATTGTCGTCTTAAAGATACTTTACTACT